GCAAGAGGGTTTATGAAAAGTTAAAGGATGCTGAAAGACAAGAGGAAAGTTTCAATCTTTATCATGCCAATTTAAATAATTTGGAAGAAAATATTTAGCCAATATCAAGATTCATTCGATTTGATTTAAATTCTGATAGTTTTCTTATTATTATATAGTTGGAAATATTTAAATTGTAATTATTGTTCAAAAATAGCTGTTAACAGTTAATAAATCCACACAACGTAATGTCCAACCTATGGAGTGAATAGTTAATGGACATTCAATGGTTATCAAGCCACTTGAAAATTTATTAATTAATTAAATTTATTAAATTATTTTATCCATTTTATTAATTAAATGCATATTAATATCAGTGAAACCTCAATTTTTATGTGAATATTTATTATTATAAACGGAAAGAACACCGAGTTTAAATAACGGAAAACACTGAGACTAATCATGGAGTAAATTTTTTACAGGGCAGTTATCATAGTTGAGTAGGCAATATGAAAAAAAAAAATCTATCAAATATATGCATCACGGGGTACACAAACATTAAGCATTATAGATATTTACCATATTTAACAATTATGTGATCTGGTGAATATAAGGCTCTTATGATGACAACATGATTCATTTTGTGTAAAATCAAATAAATTGCCTTCCTGGTCAAGGTCACACATAATCAAGATATCCCTCTCATAATTATAAGGTAATACACCTCCCAATCGATTAGTGTGACAAATCATTTCGACAAAAAAACGACGACACATTATTACAACGTTTGACCTTTTGATTTGATTTCAATAATTCAGTTCACTAAGTTGAGCAACAAAAATGTTTGTGCAGATCGGGAGAAAACAGAATTACGATATTTAGCAAAGAACTGTAACACGGCAATCTTTCCAAAAAAATCTTTACTCAAGTCGAATTATTTTTACCTTTATATTATAATGTCATATCTTAAATTATTATTATCATCGTAATTACCAGAAAGAGAGGAATTTGTATTTAAAATTTATATTGAAATGCATGATAATACTAATGTTAATAATTCTGATAGAGAAAGTATGAAAGATTATTTTTTTTCATTAGTCAAAAAAAACAAGGAGCTTTCTGAAAATGAAAAAGAAATTTGTAAGGAAAAGTTTACTTATGATTTTGAATTAGATAATGCAATGTATGGATTGGGTGACCAAAAGAATGTAACAAGTGTAAATCAACAAGATACTCTGATAGGTTCTGTGAAGGTTGCATTAAATTACAATTACAGAGTCTTTTCACTACTTGGACATCTAGAAATAACATAATTGATGATTTTATTCAACAATGTCAAATGAAATCAGCTCTTCCAACTTGTATTTTAGAATGGATACCTTTTGAGCAATTTGATGGTGTAACAGAGTTGACAGAAGGTGGATTTAGTTCAATTTTTACTGCAGAATGGACAAGAGGAAGAATAGGTGATTATGATGAAAATAAAAAGGAATTTAGTTATTTTGGAGGGCAAGAAGTAGCATTAAAAAGTCTAAATTATTCAAGTAATCCAGGAAAAGGCTTTTTTGATGAGGTTGGTAGTTATCATTTAAACAATACTTGCTGTATTTATATAATACTAATTGGTTTATATTCAATAGGCAATGAATTATTGTAAAGTTAAATCAAGTATGATTAATCCTTGCCATGGTATAACTAAATTCCCAGATAATGGAAATTATGCAATAGTTTTATCTTATGCCCAAGAGGGAAATTTTAAGGGGTTATTTACAAAAAAATCATTTAAATTTAACATTAAAAGTCAGAATTACAATCTTTTATTATTTATGTTATGCATTAGATGATATACATGAAAAAGATTTAATTCATTGTGATTTGCACAGTGGTAATATATTATTGCAAGGAGGTTGTTGTTATATTACAGATTTGGGATTATGTGGACAAGTTGATGAAGGATCATCAAATAGAGTCTATTATGGAATTGTATCATATGTTGCACCTGAGCTACTTAGAGGCAGATTTGATGTAAAGAATACAAAAGAATTCTGATGTCTATAGTGTTGGAATGTTAATGTGAGAAATATTTGCAGGCCATCCACCATTTGACAATAGAGCTCACAATCATCATTTGATTTTTGATATATGTGAAGAAGGTTTACGACCACCAATATTACCTGAAATGCCTGAAGATTATACACAAATGATGCAAAGATGTTGGGATATGTATCCATCAAAAAGTCCAACTAGCAGAGAGCTTGCTACTTTTGCTCAAAATAAACATGATGAAATTATTAAAAATAATAATGATAATCCTACTAGTAGTGGTAGTAGTGCTTCGCAACAAGCACACGAATCACATCCAGATGCATATCATACAAGTAGAATATTGGATGATGAGATTGCTAAATCTAAAAACTTTAAAAATTTTACAATTAATGATGGTTCGTTAGATAACCTTGATTTCAGCTCTTTTTTCTAAAATGTTGACAAAGGTGAATAAAGATTTCATTATTAATTAATTGGAAATTAGTTAATTAATAAACATTAGATTCTAGCAATAATTATAAAGAAAGGATCGATTTATTCTCCACTATAAATTTATTATTTATCTTTTTATTTTACCCTTGTTTGTTTCTTAAAGCTAAATTATAATAATAACAATACTTTGAAATATTAAAAAATGGTTTATCAGCACAAATATGCAAAAAATTGTATTTATCCTTTTCAAAGAGCATGGATGGATCCTTGCAAAATCTGATATAATATGTAGATTTTATTATTTTTCGTAAAGGATTTGTATATCTCAATTATTTTGATATATAGTAAGAATGACTCACAAATCTAAGAATAACAGACGCAAAACTCAAGGTAGGCTCACTAATAATCCCAAGCAGTATCTATAATTTCAAAACTGGGAGAAGTATATGCATGTCATGAATGGTGGAGATATAGTTGTAGTCAATAGGAATACGCAAGACACGAAAACAATATTTGACTATGAAGAGGTATGTAGATATCTAGAGGTAAATAATCTAGATTCGAATATTTTCAATATGTGTAACGATTAATTGGTCGTGTGTGTTAGGTTTATAAAAATATACCCAAACTGCTTTATTAATAGATGAAAAAATAAATATAATGCTCCAAAACCTTATGGCGGTGTTAATTATGGTCGTTTCATCATCTATAGCTCCTTTAGCCAATAACATTTTACTCATGTTGCGCAAAATCCCAGTTCCTGAATGTTATAATTAATTTTCCTTCAGAGAAGCTTAATGGGAATGAGTACACTGGAACCAGATTCCTTCTTCATGCATCGAATTTCTAGCATGGTTTTCATTTTCACTACTAATATGTCAATACTCAGCCAAGGTTACAAATATTTATGGCCTCGTGTATCCACGCATAGTGTTTGTCGTATATAAACAGCTATTGTTAACGAGCCCATAATATTAAATATTCTGGAGTAAATACTGGTGACAATGATTGGATGGTAAAGTAATTTAACAATTTATTAATATCAACTTGCTTTCGGGATCGTGTGACAATAACTTTTGTCATCATCTAGTAAATACCGGTGACAATTATTGGATGGTAACAATTATTAACTATTAACTTGCTTTTGGGATTGCGTGATGACAACTTTTTTCATCATCTAGTACTCAAAGTAAATAACTATTCATTAATACTGGTGTTTATTATTTATTATTAACTTGGAGTAACGAGTTGCATCAATAATCACCACCACCATTGAAAGATTTTTTTATGATACTAGTAATTAATATAATTGTTTTCTGGATGTTCGGATTGACCCTTTCTTGAAATTCATTATTATTATTATTATAGAAATATAAATAAACACTCATATCTGACGAACGTATTTTCGTTTTGATCTCTTGTTTTATTATTATTATTATTAATTAAAAAGTTCTCGTTTCGACAGATTTCAATAACAATATATTAATATAATATTAATAATATGGTGGTGTTAAAGATTATCAGGTAAAGTTGTCATAAACATATTATATAGGTCACTACCGCAGCTGGTCAATTCATGAAAAACTTACTGTTATCATTGTTTTTATCGTTAATAATAAATGTTTATTACATCTTAAGCTAATTTGTTTTAAAAAAAGATACTTGAGAGAGACTATTCAAAAGGAAAGATGCAAAGGTACATAACGAAGTTTATGAAGATGATTTAAGCGTGTCGGAGTCCGACAGAGGCATCCGTTCAGGTACAAGGATAGCAATTTTGCTAAACTACATCTTCGGAAAAATCAACGCAAGACTGACTGACTGTATTAGTATGAATTGATAGTGAAGAAAAGCGTCCGAGCCGTGAGTTTGAAGAAATTGTTAATTAAAGGAGAAATTCAGGAACTAATTTCAGGTCAATTGACGATGTCTGGGTTGTTGTGACCTCACATCTATGCTATACGCGTTTTCAAACCAATCCCAAATCAAGATAGCCACCACAATAATATTTCTATCGGCATAAATATTCAGTTAGAAGATACTCATTGTTCATGGTGCCATCAAAAGCATTATCTTATGATTTATTATTAATTAAAATTTACAATTATTTTATTATTACAAAAATACGTGTAGTAGCCACCAGCATTAAATATCCATTGGTGGACGTTTTTCTAAGATGCAATTTTTTGATTCATGGTGGGAATTCCAAAATACAATACATGTAATCCTCGGTACTCTGTCTGGTATGATATTGGGGCAGTCTTTGGAACTGCGCTCATAGTAATAACTGACGTAAATATTGCTATCCAGTTATTTCTTTGGGACAAATGACACTTGTGACATATATGTGGTTTTATTGAACTGCTACTACTTGTCAATAACCATATTAGTATTAATGAAATATTTGACAATTTGAAATAATTTAGAACATCAGCTTTTTGGGCCAAAATTGAGAGATATTAATTTAATATGGGGTACAAAACAAGTCTTAAAGAAATAAAATCCGCACATGAAATTTTTTTTAATAAATTTTATTTTTAGAAATGAGCAATATTTATATACAAGAACCACATACAAAGTTAGTATATATTAATGTAATGATAATTATCGGTTTTTTATTTTACATACCTGCTTATATATTGAGAAAACATTATATAGTGGTAAAGTTATTTTACATACTACTTCGGGTGATATTTCAATAGAGTTATTTTCAAAGGAAACACCGAAAACTTGTCGTAACTTCATACAACTCTCACTCGAAGGATATTACGATAAAACAATTTTTCACAGGTATTTTATTTATACTCAAGTGAGTTTACATGATTAGGTTCTTTATCTAGAAATTATATTTAATAAAATCAATAATACATCGAAATATACTTTACAACTTATATATTTATTTTTTTTTACATACATACATATTTGAAGAATTGTTCCTGGTTTTATTGTACAATGTGGAGATCCAACTGGTACAGGGCATGGTAAATATGATGATGACGAGTAATCAGCTAGATCTATAAGAATAAATAGTAAATTTTGCTATTTAGATTATATACATGATTTTATATTTTTTTTATATTACAATGTATATATAATATATATATATATACGTATAGGTGGTGACTCAATATATGGAGGACCTTTTGTTGATGAACTTCACACACGTTTAAGATTTGTAAGGCGTGGACTTGTGGCTATGGCTAATGCAGGAAAAAATGATAACCGTAGTCAATTTTTCATCACTCTGGATAGAACTGACGAATTACAAAACAAGCATACGATATTTGGAAAGGTAGTGGATGATACAATATTCAATGTTTTAAAAATTGGCGAGCTTGAGGTTGATGAGAATGAACGACCTCTTTATCCACCTCAAATAATCTCAACAGAAGTTGTTTGGAATCCTTTTGATGATATCATTCCACGTATCAGTGTTTTACAAGAAAATTTGGTTCAACAACCTCAAGTCGAAGCAAAGAAAAAGAAATTAAAAAAGTATGTTTTAAATTATTTATTTATAATTAGGTGGTTATTTATCAATAATATTATAGTAATAATAAGAATAATAATAACTATCATTTGATTTTTATAGAAATGTGGCATTATTATCATTTGGTGAAGAGACAAATGATTTTGAAAGCGGAAACAATCCTAACCTAAAAATTAAAAGTATTCATGATTTAGTCGAGAATGATCCAAGATTAAGCAAAGAACCCGCAGTTACTGATTTTGATTTAAAACGGATTGAATCTGATAAGGTTAGAGAGAATGGCTTAAATAAATATTCTCAATTTATTTTTATTGATTGATTGATTGATTGATTGATTGATTGATTGGTTGGTTGATTGGTTGATATATTAGACGAATCAGGAAAAGGAAAAAGAAAAGAAAGATGACAAGGATGACGATGATGACGATGATGATGGAAATGCAGAATCATTTGACAAGAAAATGAGACAAAATGTAAAAAGGTTACACGAATCAATGAAATCAGACAATTCTTTGGAAAAAAGTCCACAATTATCTAAAAAGTAGGTTTTATTTTCATTGTTATTTGTTAAGTTTTCCCTTAATTAAAATCTATATGCTTTTTATAGAGATGCAGTTCGACAAGAGATTGAACAAGTAAAAGATGATATTAGAAAAATAGATCAACGAAAAAAATTAGAGAATGCCAAGGAATCTAAAAAAAAAGATAAAAAAAGATCATATATAGAACTTCAAAGGGAACAATATTTGGTTTCAGGTAAAGCACATGCAACTAAAAAGAAAAAAGAGAATCAGGATTTAGTAAGTGTGAATATATATTATTATAAAAATACAATGTTACGTGTGAAAGAATTTTTCTTTGATTTAATAAATGGTTTAAACTATTATCATTAGACTTTGGAGAAATTAAAAGCTTTTCAGGACAAACTTGATTCTGTGTTGCCTTCCGAAGAAAATTTAAAAAAGAAAGTTGAAGAAGTAAATTTATGCCTTCTTCACTCAGTGCCTGATTGTTTGTCTTGTAGGGATACATTTGGCGAGCATAAAGAAGAGGAAACTGATGAAGGATGGTTATCGCATCTTCTTGTCTTTGAAAAAGATCTTAAAGGCAAAGATTTAATGCAGAGAAGAGACGACCCTGATGATTATGTGGTAATTGATCCTAGAGTGCGTAAGAAACAAGCCGTTGAAGACGTAAAAGCAAAGAGATCACAAAGCAACAATATAAGTGATGTTTTTCATAAAGATAACCATAAACGTAGTAGAGATCACGATAAAGACAGAAATCAAGATGCAGACAGATACAATAAAGCTAGAAAATTTGACGATAAAGAACAAGATTACAGTAAAAGCAGATACAAAGAGAGCGACAGAGACCGTGATAGGGATCGTGATAGAGGTTATGAGAGGGATCGTGATAGGGACAGGTATACATCTAGAGAAAGTGATAGGGATCGTGATCATAGAAACAAGAGACATTATTAATTTGTTTGTCAAAGCGATCATGTTCTTTTTTATGTATATTCTATTTAATTAAAAACTACTTATTATTTATAAAAATAAACAACATCTTGCCACTTTTTTTTGATTTTTTTTTATAAACTATAAATCATGTGAACATGTCAACATTTAATACCCTCGAATTTATTTTGATTATAGTAAAATTTGATTGCATATAAAATTAGTCAAATGGAATTTTGGAAACCAGGAACAATTGCTCCAGGTATTTTCGTCAAACAAAATATACACGTATATTTATCATTAATATGCCGTTAACAATTTATATATACTTTAATTTTACTTAGGGGCAAGCATTGACCGTGAGACAGAAAAAGAAACAAACGAAAATATTTTTGCATTTGTAAACAATTCTACATTATCAATTCAGCAACAAAGAAAAAGATTGCCAATTTATAAATCACGTAAATATATACGTTTTATATATACATTTATATATATTGTTATTAAAATAAACATAGTAATAACTAATTTTATTTAAACTTTTATATTTTTGAGATAGGCAATCCATTATTGTATCTTGTTGAAAAATTCGAAACAACAATTATAGTTGGTCAAACTGGCTGTGGAAAGACTACACGTATGTATAATTGACTGATATATGATGAAGAGTATCATTAAAAATCTCGATTTAAACAGTATTAATGATTTTTTTTTCAAAAAATTGAAGAATTACCACAATATCTTTATGAAGCAGGTTGGGCAGCAGGTGATAGAACAATAGCATGCTCCCAGGTAATAATAATAACAATACTAGTCAAAAAAAATTTCAAAAAATTTTTAATATTAAATTATTTGAGTTGACAGCCCCGTCGTGTGGCTGCTATATCAGTTGCAGATCGAGTGGCGACAGAAATGAATGTAAAACTTGGTGAGGAGGTAATTACTATGAAATCTGTATTGTTTTATTATTTTAAACCATATTTATTAAATTTAAATATTTTAATCGAAAAGGTTGGTTATAGTGTTCGATTTGATGAATGTTGTGATCCACATAAAACACGGATCAAATACTTGACAGACGGAATGCTTTTTCGTGAGGCATTCGGTGATCCATTATTATCACGCTATAGTGTGATAATGGTTGATGAAGCTCATGAACGTAGTTTGTACACAGACCTTTTATTGGGATTACTTAAAAAGTTGGTGTCTATTGGTGGGAACCAATCGGATAATAGATTAATTTTTCAACTCTAACAACAACATTATTATTATCATCATCAATATTAATAATAAATTTTATATTTATGATAATAGAATTCAGAAAAAACGTCCCGAGTTAAAACTTATAATTTCATCGGCTACCATTGATGCCAAAGTATTTTACGATTTTTTTAATACAAATAAATCCAACGATCCTACAAAGGATAATGTATCGATAATATCGTTGGAGGGGAAAATGTTTCCTATTGACATACAATATTTATCAGAGCCTTGTTCAGACTACGTTGAAAAAACTATTCAAACCATATTTGATATACATGTAAAGGTATATATTGACTTTAATAATGGGATATATCATTATATTCAATTCGTTGATTGATTCATTGATTGGTAGGAGCCACCTGGTGATATTCTTGTCTTTTTAACTGGTCAGAATGAAATTAATCGTGTCGCGGAAGAAATTTTAGAAAGAGCTACCACGTAAACAACTTTTTCTTTAGCTGATTATTATTATTATTGTCTCTTTTTAATTATAATTTTAATAATGAAAATCAACAGATTACCACGTTCTGCTATGGAAATAATTACATTACCTATTTATGCTGGTTTACCATATGAGCAACAATTAGAAATATTTAAAACAACACCTTATAATACACGCAAAGTAGTTGTCGCCACAAATATAGCAGAAGCATCAATAACCATCGAAGGAATCGTGTATATTATTGATTGTGGCTTTGTCAAAGTATATATATTATTTATGTTTGTTGTATCATTATATTATCGTTTTTTTTTTTAACAATAAAATTTTATATTGACTAATAACTAGCTACGAGCATACAATCCAAAAACTGGTATGGAAAGTTTAACTGTCTCTCCGATATCGAAAGCATCAGCTCGACAAAGAGCTGGACGTGCAGGGAGGTTAAAACCTGGAAAAGCGTATAGACTTTACACGGAAGATTCATTTTATCAATTCCGAGACGATAGTGTTCCAGAAATACAAAGGTAATTTTTAAAATTTATTTCCTGTTGCAAAAGTAAATGATTTTGTATCTTATTATATATATTATTTATTTCATTTCATTCAATCACCATTAAATTCAATTTTAGGAGTAATTTAGCTCAATTTATACTTCACCTAAAAGCTCTAGGCATTGATAACGTTCTACGATTTGATTTTATATCGCCACCTCCTTCTGATTTGATGATACGTGCTTTGGAGGTTTTATTTTTACTTAATCATAGATATTATTGCATTATCCAATACATGTTTTGTACTACAATTAGATTTCGATTATAAAAAATTTATCAACTTAAATATTATTTACTAGTTATTATACTCATTGAAGGCACTTGATGATTATGGAAGGTTGACAATGCCGCTAGGAATGCAGTTGGCTGAAATTCCAGTTGACGCTATGCTTGGAAAAATCGTAAGTCCTAACGTTAATCAGAATATTTATTTTAAAAAAAATATTATTGCCATTATAAATTTATTTACATTGTATATTTAATTTTGCTGTGATGGTGATTATGTATTAGTTATTAGATTCTTACAAGTATCAATGTGGCGAAGAAATACTAACAATAGCAGCAATGCTATCAGTACAAGTACGTAAAAGTAAAAATAATATTTTTTATAGTAATATATATAGATGCACTAAATTTCTTAGTTTATTTATTTTTAGAATGTATTTATTATGCCATCAAAACCTTCAAAAGAATTTGAAGATGAGAGAAGGAAATTTGCAGTCGAAGAAGGCGATCATATCACATTATTAAATGGTTAATATCATTAATTTATTTTCACCTATAGATCAATTAAGCTAATTAATTTTTTTTTCTATAGTTTTTAATGCATTTGTAACACAAGGAAAAAAATCTCGTAGATGGTGTTATGATCATTCATTAAATTTTCGTGCATTATCAAGAGCTTTATCAATCCGTCATCAATTACGAAAATATATGGAAAGGTTTGATGTTCCAGTTGAATCTTGTGGCACCGGGAATAAGGATAATATTGTAAAGATACGCAAGTGTCTTGTTAGTGGATATTTTGCCAACGCAGCTAAAATGTTGCCTGATGGAAGTTTTCAAACTATTAGAAATAATGCCGTATGTTTCTATTCAATAATAATGATTTTTATCCTTATTGCCGTAATTATTATTAGATATATATATTTTTTATTTATTATTTACAATTAGATTTTACATGCTCATCCATCATCTGTCTTATTTAATCGTAACGCCTCTTGGGTTATTTTTCATGAAGGTTCTATATTCATTTTTTGAAAGTATTTGGGAAATATATAAATTTCCACAAAATATTTTAATTAAATTTTTTAAAAATTTTTTTAGTTGTTGAAACAACAAAGCCTTATATGCGTGACATGACAGTTATAGATCCAGCTTGGTTATCTGAATTAGCGTAAGTGAATAAATAATATATATATATATATATAAAGTTCATTTTACAATAAATTTTTTTAACCTTATTTTTTATTTCCATTTTATTAGCCCTCATTTTTACAAATTCAAAAAATGACAAAATAAAATTATTTTTTACAATGGCTTTTTTCAAATCATCAATCACAATAATAGCTGATTTTTTTCTAATTCAATTAACAATACAATATAAAATAAATACCCTCTTGAAGTGCTAAAATAATTGATGATTATTATCTAAATCCTATATGGGAATCTGGTTGAAAGATTCCAATGGAAAACAAATTTTTTTGGAAATTTAAATTTATAATGATAATCAAAGTAATTGATTTCGAGCTTGAATCCATGGACACCAATTAGTACATTCAAATTTAGAGTCCGTCATTTTCTCAAGGAGATGAGCACGGAGTTGTCTGCACTTTTAATCATGTTATTAATATCAAAACATTCCTTTCCAGAAAGCAAGTTAAACTGACCTCCACGTTACCGGGTATAATGTAAATGACTTTGATTCGGGGGCAAGATAAACGGTGTGCTCTGATATTTCGCATTTGAGCTCTTTATCTTTTAAAGGGTTTATTGAAGCTGCCTGGTGCAAGGAATTCATCCCAAGTCGAATAGGGATAATGAAAGAATGCCTACATAAAGAGCGGAAAGAATATATTGTTATTCGTGTGAAAATGACTTTTAAAGACTTAAACCATCATGATGTACGTTTATACATCAACTTGGAGATTTTATTATAATTTGAAAACAAAAGGAATTTTTCAGATATTATTACACTAACTAATTACGTGCGTGTCCTGATGAATAAAAATAAATAAAAATAAGGGTTTTGTCAAAAATTTAATCAATAAAAAAAGAATATATGGTATGAGTATTACTACTAATAATAAATTTTTTATTTTAATTTACTAAAATAATATTTGTCACATTGCTATCAACTCGAACTTCAGCATTTTCATTAGGATCTATATGTATGTTGAAAATGTGATTTATAATTCAAATTTTGTTCTTCAAATAAAATTACCCAATAGTAATTTCTTTGTATCATACGTATTAACAAGTGTTAATGCTTTATTATTTTTAGTGCAGGAACGTATGTACATTTTGATTGTATTTGTGTCATTATTTTATTCATCAGTATTCTGGTAAAGACAATCATTAACTCTGGCAATTGATATATCGTGTAATTCTGGTACAAAATCGTCAGTGATAGATGATAATTGTGATGAAATTTGTTTAATATTTGCAAAATTATCTAAAAAAAGATCAGCAGTTTTATTAATTGGACAAAATATAAATTATTAATATTTAAAAAAATTTCACGTACCTGTTATTGTATTGAAAGAATCAAATGATGGAGTATTTAAAAGGGTAATCGATATAAATGCTGCATATATAAAAATAATCAAAACAAATGTCCAGGCTGGTAAAGCAAGAGCCCAATATCTATATATAAAATATTTGATGAAAACTATATTGATGATGATAATAATAAGATTATTTATTTATTATTTATTTATTACCTATTTGGATAATAAGTAATTCCCATTGAATCTTTGATTTCATCTGGCAAGTAAGCCCATAATAAATAAATTGCTAAGATAAATTTTACAAACGAACATTAGACATTAAAAATAATTAATATTTAACTCATTATTGATTAATTGATTACCAAATGCTATAAAAGAGAATAAATATAAAACAAATCCATAATACTCATACGTTGGAGTTTCTGTCAAGGTGGTAGGGGAGTCATCTGTTTGGAAATTGGACATTTTTTTTTCTGATTAATTCGTGCCACGCATCTGATTATATTTTTATTTTTGTTTGTTGATTTTCGATGTCAATCTGATGATTATTAATTTTCCCGACGCAGCAACTGACATAATCATTTATTATTTATTAATATTATATGTAAAATATAAAAATGATCAGAAGACGATTTTTGATTTTTATTTATTGGTTTATAGGTGATGCGATTCCAAAAATCTTTGGTGGCTATATATTCTAATACCGTTAATGCTTTTCTTCAAGTCAGGGAACGTTTATTTAATTTTCAAGTGACCAAGAACAAGAATAAATTTCATAGTGAAGATGCTAGTAATAAAAATAACTTTACACAAAGAACCAACAAGTTGCAAACGCCAGTAAGGCCTGACTATAGCGCACCTAAATTACCAATTGTTTTATGCCACGGTAAGTTGAGTTGTGTTAATTTTTATTGTTATCGGTATTCTTTTTAAGTTTTTAAAATCATGATTCATTTTTTTTAATTAGGACTGTTTGGATTCGATAAACTTGGTTAGTTGTGTATATATATATATATTCGAAAATTATTTATCTAAAAAAGGATTATCCCAACAAATCATGTTATTTATTTATTTTTTAAAAAAGGGTTTGAGACAATTCCATATTTACAATTACACTATTGGGGAGGCGTACAAGAAGCTCTACAAAAGCTTGGTGCCAAAGTTGTCGTTACTAAAGTTCCAGGGTATATTTAATCAAAGATGTTATATTCTATTTCAATTGATGATTGATTGATTTATTATTCATTGTTGTATATTTACAAGAAATCTATTCTTTGATTTCAAATAAAGAACTGGTTGTATTCGTACTCGTGCACTAGCTCTACAGCGTATTTTGGAATCTAATTTACATGGTGGCTGTGAATTGAACTTGATAGCACATTCGATGGTTTGTATTGATTGATGATAATTAATTAATCTAATAATATTTCCATTCACATGTTATTATTTGTTTGTTTATCACATAGGGTGGTCTTGATTGTCGATACTTAATTACACATTTACCAACAGATAGTTATAGTATACGTTCTCTGACCACAATAGGGACACCACACCGCGGTAGTCCTTTTATGGATTGGTGTAGAGATATCATAGGTTTAGGAAAGCTTTCTAAATCATTCGAGACAGCTGAAAAGGCAGCTGATCATTTGCTCAAAGAATTAGATGAAAGATGTCGTAAAGTTGAACAATTAGATCAATTGAACACTGATAAAAACCGTTCTGATTCCAATAAAATTAAAAACAATAGTAATAACTCGAAAGATTACGAGATGTCTAGCTCACTAAAGAATAGCAGTAATAGTAACAGTAATAATAATAATAATAATAATAATAATAATAATAATAATAATAATAATAATAATAATAATAATAATAGTCCATCATTAAACTTTATTTTACCATCGTTACCCCACCTAGGCTATAAAACATTGGATGTTTCTTTATTATCAACCTTACCACAAAAATTTTCATCTTTATTACATACGATAATACATGCATTTGACACTCCAGCTTACAGTAATTTAACAACAGATTTTTGTATGAATTCTTTTAATCCAAACACTCCAAATCATCCTTCTGTAGCTTATTATTCATATGGTGCTGCAACTGAAATTCCAATATGGTCACCATTACATCTTCCTTATCAGATAATTAAAGAGAAAGAAGGTCCAAATGATGGTTTGGTTAGTGTAAAATCTGCTCGATGGGGGAGATACGTGCGTACAGTTGAATGTGATCATTGGGATTTGACAGAGTGTTGGAGATTCAAACTTGGTTCATCAAATCAATTTAATCCTGTAGAGTTTTATGTTGAAGTTGCTAATTCATTAGCCAAAGAAGGTCATTAAATAACAATGATAATAATGATAGTAATAATATAAACAAAAAAATTTTTTTTTTCAATGATTGATAAAGGCCTGAGAAAATTTACAATTCGTAACAAAAGTTTTATATTAGGAAATTTAGACAGTTATTTCTTTATTAATACTAATGTTTAAATTTTATATTTGTTGTTTGAAAATAAAATTTTCAAATAATTAGTTATATTAATTAGTTGTATTACCAAACTATGTCGCATTCGTCAAACTGACCGAACTGCGTTTGGTAGAAAAAAAGAGTTACTATTATTATTATTATTATTATTATTATTATTATTGTGTTATATGGGACTTGAAGTTGAATGCGTTAAAGATCTACGTGTCGCACATAAAATTCTTCTCTATAAACATATATTAAACGTAGTCACATAATAAAGAATTTTGGCGCAATTATATATAGGGGGTCTAGCTCAAATGGTAGAGCGATCGCTTCGCATGCGATAGGCACTGGGATCGATACCCAGGTCCTCCATGAAAGAAAGCTTTTTTGAAAATTCCATTAAATTGATATTAGGATCATTATTCAAGATTTATTTATTTTTTAATTATGATAATAATTAACTTCTAGTTATTAAAAGAAAAAAAAAAGTAAATAATAATATATGTACATTGCATTGAATGATTTTAATTTTCATTAAAATCTTTTAGCAAAGAAGAAATGGCGTCCACAGTACCCACAACACAACCAATTAAACCCACCAGTATCACAAATAAATTTAAAATCATTTCCCAAATAGTCATACTATTCCACCCAAACAATCTAACATAAAATACTACGGGTAATACAAATACCAATAAACAGTTTGCGAATGCACCTAGCAATGACATAAAATCGCCAAAAAAAGGAACTAGTATCGCAATTATCACGGAAATAATAAGATGACATGTACGAAATCCTGCTCGAAGAAAGAATTCCATCAAAGGTGAATGATATTCTGTTGTGATCTTTAAGGATTTCTCGGTATCATATGCAAACGAAGTCATGATAATTGGCGCAGTTAAAAGTACATGGATAGTGATAAAAATCAATGCTAATTCCAATGGCAACCCTAAATTATTATGAAAATGATAACAAAAGATTAACTGAAAATTATTCGTTAATTAAATTCAAAATTAATCAATTAATTAACAATAATAATTATGATATTATTATTACCCTTTGGTAAGTTATTAAGAATAGGACTTGTAGTAAGATCTCCATATACATAATATCCTGAAAATGCAACTAAACTATACATTAGAGCACATGTACTCATGGTAGCAATAGCCACTTTATTCCAGTTTTTTGGTTTTTCCATGTTTTCTTCGATGTGTGGGAAAACATTATTACCGCCAAAGGAAAAAGATATTGTAGCCAAAGCAATTGGAAATTGAGAAAATACAACAAAGTCGTGAGAAGGTGGATCCGGTAAATTGCGAACATCAGAAAGATCTTGAAATGAAAGGACAACTATAACAATGACACAAAAAAACGTAGCAAAAGAGCCAAATATGCTAATTTTCAACAATTCAAAATTAAATAAGATAAAGATTAATTATTGGTTGACAAAAACCAAAATTTAAATTCGCTCAATATATATATGAAAATATAATATAAACCTTAATATCAATACTTCTTTTAATGTTTTAGTTAATATAAATGGTATTGCAACTAATGATGCACAGATACATGTCCATACTCGAAATCCCAAATGAAGCCCCAAATTGTCACTTAAAGCATCGAAATTTTGAGCAGCCAGTATAAAATATAAAATAGGAACGCCGACTAGTATCGCATTGTTGAATATACCCACTAATATGTATTTACCAAATTTACCATATGCATGATAGCCAATGTCTTGATACGTGTCGAGACGTGATTCTCTGGTGAACAAATAATAATAATATATTGTTATTAGTGAAAACAGAATAAAACAAAAAATACAAGAATAATTAATTACCCATCATAATAAAGACATTTAATCAACAGTATACTGGTATGTATGGAAATTATCATTGATAAAATTATCAAAAACAATCCAACCCACCCTCCTTGCTTAAGAGCATATGGCAATCCTAAGATTCCTGTCCCTGCTACTACACAACTAAAAAATTATAAATTTTATTATTATTAACTTTATTTATAATTTTATTATTATTAATTTTACTTTTAATTTTATATGGTAGCAAGTAGTAAGTAACTCACGTAGCGTGTATATAAGCAGCAAAGCTTGAACCTTTAACATCAACTACTCTTTCGGCAATTTGTATGTTGTTATTAATATTAAATTGATGATCTTCATGACTAGTCAATAATGGCTCTTCAGATTCTATAGAGTATCTGTCTATTCCCGTTATTTGATTTTTAATTAACAACATCACTATAATAATAGTACTCGTAGATTAACTAAAGAAACCACAATTGCTGCGCTATAAATAGGATTAAGCCCCTTCCTTCTATTTTCAAAACCGGAAAAGACAGGTATTCATTATTATCAACTAAGGATGAATAACCTTAATATAATTGGTGTGATGAATAAAAGGGACGTATAAGGTTCGGGGTAATATGTAGGGGCCCAAATCTTCCTAAATATGGTAATTTAATGTGATTTGTTAACACAAAAAAACATTAAATGTTCAAGTAAAAATGTTAGTGGATGTTTTGTATGAACTAAATCTTTAATGAAGAAATATACTCTTTTTGGTAAAAAAAATATATTAATTAGGATGAGACGATGATGGTGATATTGATTACAATCGGAAGAGTAGATGATGATGGATTGGGTAGTTTCATCATATGATACAATCCTTGAAGATTTCTGATAGTGATTGTCCTAGCTCTTGTAACTTTTAAGTTTGTAAAAATAAGGGAATGGATGGTATGATGTAAAAATGTTGAATAAGAAAAGTCATATTAGTTAATTGATTAAAATAAAAAAATAGTGATTTTTTCTTGCATTAAATATAATCGTGCTTAGTCATATGCGCTGATTTTGTTTGAATCTCAAAATTCAGTACGGTATGATTATTATTATTATTATTATTATACTAATACTAGCAAAAACCCCATTTGACTCAATTGGTTTGACGGGATGTTGAGTAAAACTTTTTTTTTAGCAAATAAATTTTTTGGGAGTTGCACAATATGATACATGGTTTGAAAAAAAGGGCCAAAAAAACAAATCGAAGTCTGATGATTTTATAACCCTCTTAATATAAAAAAATCGTGGGAAAAAAACAAGTGTCAAACAAAGAATATTTCCATTACCAATTTCGTCGTGTAACAATCTATACAAATTTAGATAGGACGGGAAAAACTATTTATTGCCCGCAAAAAAATTTGTATTTTGATTTTAATATTACCCGATTGATTGATTAATTATTTTCATATACCTTAAATTAATGGAACAAAATAATAATATATATATATATATATATATAAAGAAATAACAATTTTTTAATGATGCGAATCAATATACAAAATTTTTCAAGCAAGATAAACAATATACTGTATTATTTATTTAATGTTACAAAGAACAATTGAAATTTTACCCATTTTTAAATGTTTATAAATATTTGATTGATGTAATACGAGACAGATGGGGTCTGGAAATTGGATGGGGGTATGCTGCAGACAAAGTGAACATTTTGTATTACCAAAAATTTCAAGTTCATAATTGACATGTTGCACAAATGTTCTATATACATAGTAGACATGTTGATTGGCACTTGGTGTTGTACAAAGATTTTTTTGACCACGATTGATTTTTTGGAAAACAATTCATTTGACAAAATCCAAGGTAACAAAATGCGAGTGTTGTTGTTTGGCATGGTTCTCCTAAAGAAGTTGTGTTAATAACTAACCAGGGGTAATTTTTTTTACTTGTATTGATATATATATTTTGGTTATTATAATAAATATTTTAATTGAAATCAAAACGTGGGCAGATTTTGCTGGATAATTATAAGATTCTTGATGATGAATAAACGATTGGTATTTCACTTTGCGTAATCGCAATCAATATTAATATTATTATAAGATGTCAAGGCAACACATCGTCGAAAAGAAACTTTTCGATATGCGATGTTTGATTATTGGAAATTGGCAGGTGTTGAAGCATGCACACTACCTTGAACACTTACAGTCATTCTCACACGTTCCTTGTGTACACAAGGCTAATCTGACCAGCTTGCCCTGAGATACTATGAATGATGCAAATAAAATTCAGGGGGGTACGTGGCCCTGGAATTTATGAGACTGCATCAATCGTCAATGATATTTTCACTAATCTTCCCTCATAGCACCAGGCTGCTGACATGTTAGACGAAAAGTTTCCTGCAACAATCCTGGTAAGGATGGCTCTGTCACCATGATCACTGGCATCAAGATGAAAGCTGTAAATAAAATGGTTCGGATTTTGTTTGGTATGTTATAAATTAATCATTTTCATAAATTCTCTGTTTCTCTTTAATTTTTGTTTGGCCAACTGAATTTGTTATTTAAATGAATGGAGTAGGGTTGTTGGTGAGTAGGCGTGTCACCAACAAGACAGCAACCCAGGACTCAAAACTTTGAATTCAAGGAAAATCTAAATCAGTAACCCATGTTGCAAACTTCAGAGTCGGAGAATTTTGAATCAGTTGAAGACACTGACTTTATTCTGGCGAGAGGGATATAACACAAAGTCACCACCACACAAGCATCAACTATCATTGATCAATGCCCATATGGAATCGGCAGCCTGGTCTGAGAGGGAGATAAGGGAAATATTTGTCCAAAGCCTTCCAACATGTTCAACCCTCTTTCACCTGTGGGAAAAAATTCCATGGTGCTGAATTGTGCTTGATTGCACCGTGATTGCATGTTTGTGATAGGAAATTTTTAATTAAATCTGATACCTGTGATCAACATCAGATTTATTATTCAGAAAAAATAATTCATTCTGTGAATCCCAAAGATTTGGGTAGACATGAATTATTAAAAGTTTCATTCATGCATGGTCTTGTGTGATGCAATTGTTTGTTATATCAATGATAACATCAAATGTATTAAACAACCATCAAAATATTTAATGGATGGAAGCATTCACATACAAAGAAATGATTAAATAGCTAAGTCTTTTTTGTTTTGCTTTATCAAAATATATGATTAATTATATTTAAAATATACAATAAAAAAATCACATGACTGCACCACTATGTCAAGCTAATTATTTTGTATCACATCTTTTTTTGGTTATAAATAATCTACACAGCGAGTTTCGATTTAACGGACATTTTTGTACCATAACCAGGAAATTTAAAATATAATAGCATAATAACAAGTTTTTAAATGAAATCATGACAGTGAGCTTCGTGCCTTTTACTTACACAACGACATCACTCAGTCAAGACAATAGTCAATTTTATTAATTCAAAAAAATATAAATAGGATGGCCATCCACACCAGGGCTATAAATAGTACTTTAAAAATCCGGATTTTCCTTTTTACCAGTGATTATTATTTTTTTTCCGGAATTCGCTGGCTAGTTCAAAGGTATTTTTTCTCAAGAACAAAAAAAGATGGATAAATTATATAATGACTTTAAGAATTTATTTGGCGAAAATGACAAATCTTCCAATATGTATATTTTTTATATATATTTAGCACATACAAGGAATCTATCATTCTCTGAAAAAGAAAAACCATATATTAACTCAGTATTTTTTCAAAAGGTCATTGTAAGTATTTATATATATATATATAATGAACAGTACTAGTTATGATGAAAGGTATCAACGAAAAGAAATATATATTGCTATCCCTAAGCTGGGTTTCTGCAATATATATATCAATGAAAAAAAAAGGTTGCTTCTTGATATATTGATGAAAAAAGAGATATATTGCAATCCCTAAGCCGGGTTTCTGCAATATATCAATGAAGAAAATAAAGGGATAAATTAGATCTTTCTTTGGCCAACTATTATGAAGTTCATTTTATTTTCATATATGTTAAAATGCAAAAAAAAAAAATATCTAGTTAACACACATTATTTGTGCACATATACAATTATATTTATTTCAGAATCCGCTGTATGTCAATACAGCAAGTATCTTCTATTCCTTGATAAAAGAATTGAAAAGAAAACACCAATATACCAAATATTGGAAGACTATTGAAGGATGTGCAGAGGATTGTGACATTTAGGAGTCGTTACGTGATCTGAACATAGTAGACAGTAATGAAACTGTTTCAGAAGAAGATAGTAATGATAGTGAATATGAAGAAGCCACGTTTGAAAAATCAAAAAAAAATTTGAATTGTTATTTATTAATTTGGTATAACGGAAGTTATATAATGGTTAATAGAATTAGAAGTTAATTTTGCATACCCAAAATTTTTTTGCCAAACCTGAATGCAAACTCTGGTAACCGGTTACATAACCTCCCGTTACATTTAGCATTTCAATTAACTCTTTTGATTTTTAAGATTTTTTAAAAAGATTATCTTACCTATTATTGTTTTTATTTAATAGTTTCCCACAAAAGGATTTCATCAAGGATTTTATGGTCCAAGGAATGTCCAATATACCATACGTTAATCACATTGAAAAGAGCTTTTATTATGGAATGATGTATAATTTAATTTAACACACACTTTATATATAATGTTATTTAATATGAATTTAATATTTCAAATTTCAAATTTAAGAAATGTAATTTGGAAGAGCAGCTTCTACCAACGGGAAGCTATAAATGTTAATGAAAGGGCTTATTCTTTCGATTTAGCATATCAAATCATAAATTTTGTATTTCTCAATGTAGAACAAATAGAAAGACATTGGGATGGAGCTAGGAGGAATTTCCGTTTTTTTTCAGATCCTATTTCCAGCCCTGGTCCTCACACTTTTTTTTTTCGTAACCTCTCTCGACCAAATTCAACCTCTTATTATTATATTTCATTCATAATTGAAAAAAAAAACTATTTTTAGATGATCTGCATAACAGGCAATCAGAATTTCGTACCCAAGTAAGCCACCCTTAATCAAAAAAAAATTTAACCACATCAATCAAATTTGAATTAAAAAAATCAGCTAGCGAAATAGAAAATTTGTTTTAAAGAATTCATTCAAGGCTTGCGCATTTCTTTTAAACCTTATTGATTTAAGAAATTTAATCTCTTATAGTCATTTGCGACATTGACGTCCACTTTTAAGCAGTCAAAATCAAAAGATAGAATGTCAAACGACTTCCAGGAAGAAGCTCGACTCATCGCCACATAGATTTGTCCTGTTGCAAACATGTTATGCTCTATAGTCAAGGTTGCATGTGGCAGTGTTAGGCCTCGAGTCTTGTGCACAGTAAGAGCAAATGCATTCTGCAACGGAAATTGACACCTTGATGCCGGTACGCCATTGATATCAAAATTTGCAACGCTTTTCTGAACGTTGATTTTCATCACATCGTTAGTTGTTGGGAACGTAACTGCCACATTGTCATCATCAACGACTTTAATTATCACCCCTATCGTCCCATTGCAGATGTTGTGCTCGAACAGTCTGCTGTTCAAAAACATGACCTTCGCTCCTTCTTGAATTGTAATGGATTTTTGGAGGTTCGTGTGATTCTTGAAAGGCAAGTTGATAGACCTCACCATCGATCCTCTCACGATTTAAAGCGTCGACCACCAGGGAAACAACTGGATCGGAGCACCAGTCATCAAAAGGTAAGTGCTGGCAAACGAAGGCATTTATTTGGTCTGATATTCAAGGGTACCAACAACGTGGGTGGTGCCTATCATCACTGGTGTTTATTCTGAACGCTTTTTAGTTGACCTCCACATATTTTTGTTCTTCTACACGGCACACAGCCACACAGCCACCGTATGTGTTCCACTGGCTGACTTGACGAACATGGTTGACGACAAGATAGACGACATAGAAAATAATCAAAATTAAAGAAATACTATGCAAAAAGCAAGCGAGTAAAAAACTTTCAAGAGGCGAATCGGTTTGTTTTTTATTCATTTATTTGTTTATACATCCCAGATCAAAGGTCAATTTGATCAATTAGATGTTTTTTTCAAGCCTACATCACCATAGAAGATTAAATTTCGGTTGTTAAAAAAATCAACCAAGCTTTTTTTTCCTTAATTAAAAAAAAAAGATCCTTCGCAAAGAAGAACCCCTCATGTGAATCGAAGGCTATTTGCGAATTTCGATTGTTAAAAAAATCCAACTAAACTTTTTTTTCTTAATTAATTAATGTGTTCGGAAATTTTTCATTAATCAATGATTTTATTATTTTCTCCAAAAGAAATCAGATCATTCACTATCCTTCAAATGGTCAAAATCCAAAAAAATTGACAACGAAATAAAACGTTTTTGAACCCGGTCTCGTGACCAGAAAATATCATTAATATTAACACGTTGTGTGACGAGCCTTTGACAATCCGAGATAAAGGTTCCAAGACAAGTCCATCAGTTTTTGGTCATTTTGAACGGTCCGAAACGTCAGAGCAAAACGAAGACCTAATGGTAGACAGCAGTCGACACCACGCAAAAAAACACCCAAAGCGAAACACGATTTCCTTTCAGTCAAGTATCTGTTTCGCTCAATCCTGACGTTTTGAACCAAAACAAATGTTTTTCAGTTTACAAATCATGACTAACAGATAGCAATTGGGTTTCGCACGATACAGTGACGTAAAATAACCACAAACATTTATCATTTTTGGAAAACGAAAATATTTCTGTATATAATATTTTCAAATTTCAAATAATTTCAAACCAGCGCAGCAAAAAAAAAAAAACGACTCATCACAAAGTTTTACCCTTTGATTTTGATCTCTTCCTTCCCCAAAAATTCAGTCGAGAAACAGGACGTTTAGAAGATTCATGATTCGTTACCGTAACTGAAACTGAATCTTCTTTACAACGAATTATTTCCCGTGCAATCAAACATTTCAAAATTGGGTAAAGTCGTTAGATTAGGAAACATAAAAAAAAAAAAGAAATATTACACAAAATATAATAATAAAAAATCTACACAGAAATTACGACATTTACTAAGGCACCGTAAACGACAACCTTTTCTTCTTTTATTTATTCTCAAAAAAACCATTTTCTCCACTCTATTACAAACCCAAATTTTATATTTTATAAAACATTTATTTATAATGTCATACAATAAACTGTTATCATTGTTATCACCAGAAAGAAAGGAATTTGTATTTAAAATCGAGAATGAAGTATATAATAATGCTCTGACTAATTCTGGTAAAGAAAGTAGAAAAGATTATTTTTTTTCATTGGTTGAAAAAAACAAGGAGCTTTCTGAAAATGAAAAAAAATATTGTAAGGAAAAGTTTATTTACAAAATTGAATCTAAAAATGCAAAACATAAATCAGGAAAACCAAAAGAGTGTAACAAGTGCAAATTGATGAGATATTCTGATAGATTTTGTGAAGGCTGTATCAGTTTAAAATTACAGAGCCTTTTCACCGCTTGGACATCTGGAAATAACATAATTGACAATTTTATTCAACAATGTCAAATGAAATCATCTCTGCCAAATTATATTTTAGAATGGATACCTTTCGAGCAATTTGAAAAAATAACAAAGTTGGCAGAAGGTGGATTTAGTTCAATTTATAGAGCTACATGGACAAGAGGAAAAATAAATGATTATAATGAAAATAAAAAGGAGTTTAGTTATCATGAAGGGCAACATGTAGTATTAAAAAGTTTAAATAATTCAAGTAATCCAGGAAAAGGTTTTTTTGATGAGGTTGGTAGTTGTCATTTAAAACAAAAATAAACAATGCTCTATTATACAATATTAATTGATTTTATATTTATTTCAGGCAATGAATTATTGTAAAATTAAATCACCAATGATTGTTAATTGCTATGGTATAACTAAATTCCCAGATAATGGAAATTATGGATTAGTTTTAAATTATTATCCAGAGGGGAGTTTAAGGGGTTACTTACAAAAAAGTCATTTAACATTAAAAGACAGAATTACAATATTTGATTATGTATGTGATGCATTAGATGATATACATGAAAATGATTTAATCCATTGTGATTTACATAGTGGTAATATACTTGTGCAAGGAGGCAATTGTTATATTACAGATTTGGGATTATGTGGACCAATTGATGAAAAATCATCAAATAAAGTCTATGGGATTGTATCATATGTTGCACCCGAACTACTTAGAGGCAATAATGCAAAGAACACCAAAGAATCAGATATCTATAGTGTTGGGATGTTAATGTGGGAAATATTTGCGGGTCATCCACCATTTAATGACAGAGCTCACAATCATCGTTTGATTTTTGATATATGTGCCAAAGGTTTACGACCACCAATACTGCCTGGAATGCCTGATGATTATGTGCAAATGATGCAGAAGTGTTGGGATGTAGATCCATCAAAAAGACCAACGAGTAGAGAGCTTTATGATTTCGCTAGAAATAAGTGTAACGAAATTATTAATGATAATAATGATACTACTACTAGTAGTAGTAATAATTCGCAACAAGTATACATATCACATCCAGATGCGTATCATAAAAGTAGAATCTTAGATGATGAGATTGCCAAATCTAAAAGCTTAAAAATTTATACAAGTAATGACAGCTCATTAAATAGCCTTGATTTTAACTCTCTTCTCTTAAATGATAACAAAGGGTGAATAAAAATTTCATTATTATTAATTAATTGGAACTTATTATTCATCAATTATTAATAAAATTATTTTTTATTTACATTTGATTGCATTAGATTCTAATAATTAAAAGAAAGAATTGATGGATGACTAATTTAATATCACTATAAATTATCCATTATAATTATTTATCTTTTTATTTTTTTACTTAATTTCTGATTTTCTTTAATAATATATTCCAATATGGACATAATTTTGGGAAATAATAATATTTTTCTTTGATAGATATTTTTATTTGCGAGTGATTATTAATTTTTATTTTATTTTAAAATGTAAATTTAAATAATTTTAGGTATAAATTTTGGCGGCTACTATGAAAAATTATTTTGGCATTTTTGAACTTGGCAGTGATCATTTACTAACCAAAGTAATTTTGGCTAACATGTATGTATGGTTTCGTGATTGTTACTTCCAACTTCATTTTGCCCTTTTTACAATATTCACAGTTGTCATTTCTTCTTGAACAAGAAGATGTTTGTCAATCATAATATATTCTATGACGTTATTTCACATAATAATAACTGTCCTTTGAGCATAATTTTATTGAATGTCAAGTGATGTTTGTAAATTCTTTTAATACGCAAATTTATTATGTTTTAATGTTGGTAAAAATGGACTAGTATTTGGCCATACTGCGTAACAATGAATCAAATCAACTTGTTTTGTTTTGTTATTGTAAATAATAAAAGAAGTATGTTAATCAACCTCAAATATTGTAAAATTGTCACTTTTCACAATATCAATAAAATGGATAAATATTTTAAAATACATATATATATGTAAAAAATATAACCAATAAACCAACAAGCCAACCAGCCAACCAGTAATTAACCAGTTAACCAGTCAACTCAACCCAAACTCTTGCATTTCTAAACATTCTTAACCATGGTCCAAACTCACCCCAGTTATTGGCTTCTTTAGGATACCATGAATTTGCTTCTTTGATAATAACGCGTTCAGGATGTGGCATCATTGCCAATACTCTGCCATCAGGTGTCTGTATTCCTGTGATACCAGCAGGACTACCATTTGGATTATATGGGTATCTTTCAGTAGGTTTGCCATAATTATCAATAAATCTTATTGCTACAAGATTCTTTGAAAATAAATTGGAAATTTGTTGCTGTTCATTCAAAAATTCAGCTCTACCTTCACTATGAGCAACTGCTATTGGAAATCTTGAACCCTCCATCCCTGTCAAAAATAATGATGGCTTTGTATTATTCTCTATCAATGATGGTGATGATGATGATGAACGTGAAGTAATTTCAACTAAACTGAATCTTGCTTCAAATTGTTCACTTCTATTTCTTTTAAATATTGGCCAATCTTCTGTACCAGGTATTATTTCTTTTAATTGACTTAAAAATTGACAACCATTACAAATACCAAGGGTAAAAGTGTCATTTCTTTCTTTGAAAAAATTTTCAAATTCTTTTTTCACATTGGGGTGTAATAAAATAGATTTTGCCCATCCTGATCCAGCTCCAAGTACATCTCCATAAGAAAACCCACCACATGCTACAATCCCCTTGAAATCTTTTAATGCAACTTTTCCTGATAGCATATCAGACATATGTACATCAATTGGTTTGAATCCTGCCAAATAAAATGCAAATGCCATCTCCATATGACCATTTACACCTTGTTCTCGTAATATTGCTATTTTTGGTTTTAATGTAGTTGGTGATTTCACAAATGGCAGGGTCACATCTTCTGCTGGATCAAATGTCAAATGAAAATGTAAGCCTGGATTATTTACATCTAAAATATTATCAAACTCTTCTTTAGCACAAATACTATTATCACGTAATGATTGAATTTGGAAAGAAGTTTCTGACCAAATTCGTTGTAATTCCATGCGTGTTGATTTATATATTATAGAACTTTGAAATTTTATTATAACATCTTGATCATTTGATACTGAACCAACACAATATATATGATTTTTAGGAAAGTTTGATTTTGTAAATATTTCAATAATTTTTTCTAAATCTTGTTTTCTAATTTGTATAACAGCACCAAGTTCTTCATTAAAAAGTGACCTGATAACATCACCATTTTTTACAATATCTGAAATATCTAATTTAACTCCCAAATGACCAGCAAATGCCATCTCAACCACTGTGACAAATAACCCACCATCAGATCTGTCATGATAAGCTAATACTAATTCTTGATCATTCTGACGCACTTTTTGTATACCTTCAAAAAAATGATTTTATGATTTGTGTACTTTCAACATCCGGAGCTTCAGCTCCAATTTGTTGATACACTTGTGCAATAGCAGATCCACCCATTCTTTGCTTTCCCATAGCTAGATCAAAATAAACCAAAATGGTATTTTCTTGTGCATCATAATGTAATTGTGGTGTTAATGTCTTATGAACATTTATAACAGGAGCAAATCCTGTAATATTTAAGCTTAATGGTGATGTGACTTCTTTACAAATACCATTATCAATATGATCACTCCATTTCATTTTCATTGACATTGAGTCTTTACCAACTGGAATGCTGATTCCTAAAGCAGGGCACAAATCCATGCCAATTGCATTGACAGCTTCATATAATCTAGCTCCTTCACCTTCATGATTTGCAGCACACATCCAATTTGCACTCAATCTGATATGGGATATTGATGTAATATTGGCTGCAGCTAAATTAGTGATTGCCTCAGCAACAGCCATTTTAGCAGATGCTGCTGCTGAAATCAAAGCAACAGGTGGCCGTTCTCCCATTGCCATTGCTTCACCAGTTATAACTTCAGTGTCATATGATGATATAGTGACTGCCACATCAGCCACTGGAATTTGCCAAGCACCTACCATCTGCTCACGTGCCACCAACCCTGTTATTGAACGGTCACCAATTGTAATTAAAAATGATTTTGAAGCAACTGTTGGAAGTCTTAAAACTCTATTGATTGCATCAGCAATCAAATCATTTTGTAAACTTGTATCTGATATATAACTTTTTAAACTAGTGTCAAATGGAGAAAATTGAGTAATTATTTTCCTTGTTTTGAATGAAATTTTTGGTAAATTACCAAATAAAATTGACATTGGTAGATTTATTGGTTCATTGTTAAATAATGAATCTTCAACTATTAGTTTTTGCTCTTTTGTTGCAACCCCAATATTGGCATAGGGACACCTTTCTCTTCTACATATACTTTCAAACAAATTTGTATTCTCAGGGGATATGGCTAAGACATAACGTTCCTGAGCTTCATTACACCAAATTTCCATTGGAGACATTCCAGGGTCATCATTTGGAATGTCTCGTAATCTAATGATACAGCCTAATTCACTATCATGTACACTTTATCCAACCATCTAATGAAGCTTCTTTCAAAACATTGAGTAATACCGAATCAATTGAACGTAAAATCCTTGATAATTTATTAAATTATGGTATTATTTCAAAACAAGAATTTAGTGATGATGCTGATATAATAAAAAAAAGAGTTGATTATATGAAGTCATGTTTAAGATCGCCTGATAGAGCAGCAAATGATTCTCTTTTTTTCATTGTAATTCCTAGGTTGTCAACTGGAGAAGATATAGACATTCGAAACGTTATATCAGAACAACTTTTTATGATTGATCATTATTTACATGATCGTATGACTCAAACACTTGTAAAACAATTGCCAACATCTAATGTAATATTTAAAAATGGTAAATACATGCCATTGAAAATTTTAAATCTAGTGGATGAAAATAATTTTACAAATGTCAATTATAGTTTGATCAAAGAAAAATTTGTCAAAGGGAATAAGGAAATAGGTCTTGCATTGTCAGATGATGAGATGGATTATCTTATTGATGCTTTTATTGGCACTGGCAAAAAGAATAATGATAACATAACATCAACATCATGTTTATTTAGGAATCCTACAGAAGCGGAACTTTTTATGTTTGCACAGGTCAACAGTGAACATTGCCGTCATAAAATATTCAATGC